GTTTTTGGCAGTCCTTCCACAAGATCCTGAACTTGGTGACTCTGTAAGACTTGCACATATCATCAGAGTTGGTACTTTTGGGAGCTAGGCCTTTTCAGTTGTGTAAAGAACATGTGCCAATTGTAACTGGATGATATTTGTGGCAAAGTATTGTGGAAAAAAAAGGATAAATCACTGGTAGAGGAATAAAAATTAAGGGGAACAGTAGACATACCAACTTCCGATGACTAGCTGAGCAGCAAGATTAATTATATCAAATACTTTTGAAAGAACATAAATATTGTTCAGTATGAACTTAGACTATACTATATCATCACAAAGATGGAGGAACTTTTATTGGCATTCGGCATTTTATGTCCATGCAAACATATAGTTTCTTCAGATTAATAAGATATGCAAATTTAAAACATCTGCAGCTGCACAGGAAATATATTAGGCACTATTTATAAAAATGTGTGAAAAGTTATAATGCAGAAAGAATTTAGTGGAAAACATTAGATGGGATGAATCAGGTCCCCAGGTGCAGCTAGGAAGAAGAGAGGGACCTAGGTGACTTTTTTCCATATTTTTTATTATTGGTCTGGGTAGGAGGCCATTTAAATTCTGGCAATTTAGAGCAGTCCTACTTTGGATAAAAAAGTCCCAATGGACTGCTCTGCCAGCCTAGAATTATTGAAGCCCAAAGGCAAGCTTATGTCACCTCAAACAAACAATATATCCTCTTCTCTGCTCCCCCCAAACCCAATAATTCTGGCAGTTGGCATAAACCAAGCTATGCCAGTGGAATGCATCCACGTAGTATTCCCCGACTTTAGATCATCTTCTCAGCTGCTAATGGTAGGATTATGATCTAAGGATCTGGTCTTACATAAACACTTACCTCCACAATATATATTAAAAGACTAGCATGAACACTGCAAAGTCCATCACTTGGAAGCGAGGAAATGTTGAAATTAAGGATTAAGCCCCCCCTTCTGCATATGAATTAGGAAGCTAAATATAATCAAGTAATTCAAGACTATTTTTCTCTCAGGGGATCCTTGCCTTATTCAGCAAGCAAGATGGATTGTGCTTATTTGATGAACAGTTATTCAACATTTTGTCTTATCCTCATTATTCAGTGTGTGGCCCATGAGAATTTCTTCCATATTATTCTGAAGAAAGATTTATTCATTCCCTTATGGGCTTTTCTATGCAGCTTATCACTATAGTATCTGAACCACAAATATTAATTTATTTTCATAAAAAGTAAATTATTCCCATTTTACATATGGGGAAATTAAGTAGAGAATTTAAGATCAAAAGTATTCATTAATTGGGGGTGTTTGGCTTGAGATGCTAAGAACCAGATTGTTTACTACTTGTAACATTATATATTATCCAAGATGCTCAAAACCATTGAATACTCAGCACTTGTGCAAGTCAAGCCACAGAGCCTCAAATTAGCATCAAGAAAACAGGGCACAAATAATTAGTGATCACCTGTGAAACATTTAAGTGACTTCTGCAGCATCGGCTAGGAATTCTGTCACAAAAAGCAGAAGCATTCAGTTACTTAAATCAATAGTCACCTACTTTAACTATGAGACCATCCTTTACCTGCAGTCCCCTGCCTCATTCATTATGCATCTTCTGCCAGGAGACCTGCAGAGCAGCTTCATCCTATCTATTGATGGAAGCAGGGATTCTGTGAAAAAAACTATTTGATCACGTAATTAAAGACTCTCTCCTAATGCATATGTACACAGGGGAATGAATTTAAGTTGCACAGGCAGTCTTAATTCTGGCATTTCCTAAAATTACTGTGCTTGAATTTGCAAACTTAATAATGTTCTATATGCTTTTTTAAATGTAACTTCTTACATCTCTAAAAAAGCAACCGCAACCCCCCACTTCTTCCAACTTCCATCTTGTGGGATCACATTAACAATGACATGGGGCATCAGCTGGGTTGGAACTGTCAATTTTTGCTAATAGAATAACTGATAATGAAGGACAAGCCAGTACTGCTATGTGGACCAATATTAATGGTAAACAAAGCTTTTTATCAGAGGGTTCTTTAGACATGGCTGATAGAAGGGGAAATGTGAGACTCAGAAATCTTGAGCTCCATTTCAGACTCTTGAGGGTAGTAATTCTCTAGTAGGCAGAGTCTCTTCTGCCATTTTTTCCAAGCTTGACTCCTGCCTTGCTGTGGTGGAGCACCAGCGGGGTGCTTGCCACTTAAGGGCTGTTGCAGGCTCTGAGTGAGCCTGCTTTGTGAGCAGCAGGGAAAAGCCTCTCCCCAGGAACTGATTTTAAGGGGGAATGTGGGTGGCAGAGCACCTTTTGTGTCTGCCACTCTGAGGAGGAGAGCAGGCAGCAGACAGGTGCAGGCCAGCCCTGATGAGGCAGCTGTTTTAAGATCCTGGCTCTCAGGGCAGGGGCAGCAGCTTGCTGCTAGCAGCCAAGGAGGCAACATCTGCTGAGCTGCTGCTCACAACATCTTGGAGATAAGGGCAGGAGCTATTGGGGATGGCTGGAGGCTCCTGGTCCTGGGCATGACTGATAAGTGCACCCTGCTGGGGAACGGCAGCCTGGTGGGACTCCTTGTGGTGAGGGAGTCCCCAAGAAATGCCAGGCCAGTTACCTCCCTGGTGAAAGGTGAGGAGGGGTGCCGTAAAACCCCAGCCTCCACCATTCTGGTGGGTTATAATATCGGAGGGGAGTAGGGCCAGGCATGCCCAGGGAGGGGCACCTGAACCCAGAGTGGGTAGTGGGACCAGGCATGCCCATGTGAGGCACCTGATCCCATAGGGGTGTAAGACCCCATGGAGTAGTGGGGCCAGGCACGCCCATGAGAGACACCTGAGCCCATGGGGGTGTAAGACCTTGGAGCCCCAGAAAATGGGTTAAGTGTGTTGAGCCCAAGGAGGGGGTGAGAGGAGAGGTGGGGTCTTGGCCAAGGGGCAAGTGTGTGGGGGCCCAGGTAAGTCTTTGGATGCCTGAGGCCCCACGTGGGCCTGAGGCCAAGTTGGTGGCACAGAAGGAGCCGCAAGTAAGTGGGGCGAGTAATTGGCCAATGAGGGATGAGTTACTTGGCGTGGGGCTAGAGGTGAAAGCCCAGGTTTTGACTAATTTCCTGGCCACAACATAGATGAGGGTCACAGGAGAGGCCCAAAAGGCTATGCCACAGTTGGCCAAGGTGAGAAGGGATAAATCTGATGACCCATGTGGTCGGTCAAGGGAGAAGGGCAGGGTGAGTGAGGCCCAGTAAAGGGCGTGAGTGTGAGAGGCCTGGTGAGAGCAGGTGGAGTGATAGAGGCCCCAGTGAGAGGGGAGCTGTATGAGTGAGGCTCTGAACAGGGGAGCATGAGAGAGTTCTAACTGTGGACTGAGTTTGCCCAGCCTCAGTCCAGAGCATAGACCAGCTCAGAGATGACATCTGTGAGGCATGGGACATGATAAAGAGAAGGTCGGAGTCATGTGTTTACTGCTTGTAAACAGCAGGGCGCTGGAAGGGCAGCTTCCCGTATAATTAACATCATAATTAGTTTACAACAAGGTGTGGCAGGCGAGTAAAGTGGGCAGCTTGCCCAAAGACAGGTGGCAGGACGGCATTGTGACCTGGCCTGGGAGTTTGCCTCTGTCACACTTTCCCCTCCCATCAGTCTCTGAACTTGTCCTTTCTCTTTTCCACCGCTTGCTCGTTCCCTTTGTCTTTGGAAATGGGTTGGCAAAGCCAGTCTCCACACTTCCAACTTTTCATCCCAGTCTCAGTCTCTTTACCAAGCCAATCCTTATCTTCCCCTCTGGATTTGCTATCCTAGTCTCTTCCCACCATTCCTTAATCTCTTGGTTCAGCCAATCCCATTTTACTCCTCCTCCTAGTTACTGTGCCTAGCCAGGCCTAATTCTGTTGGCACATTCTTGCTCCTTGTCATATCTATCTGTCCTCTCTATAACTTCCTTCTCCCAATCCATGGCTTGCCCTTCGTAGTCCAAGTCCTGATTCCTTTTCCCAACAGACCTACTCTCTGTTTGTGGCTCTTCGTCCTATTTTATTGCCTGGCTTCCAGTTCTCCTTCCTCTTTCGCTTCCTAGCTTCCACTCCTGATCTCCTTATACAGCCTCTGTCAGTATCCTTTATCTCTAGTTTAGTCCAAGTTTTTCCCTGTTTCTGCCCTTATCTCCCTATTTCCCTCTCTCTTGTCAATCTCTAGCAGTGCCGTAGCAATGTGGGGGCAAGTGGGGCAACTGCTCCGGGTGCCAAAGTGAAGGGGCGCCAACAGGTGCTGCCCAGCCAGGGTGGGGTGCAGGACAGAGCCGAGAGTGACTCGCTGGGGGGACACAGGGGAAGGGCAGCTCCCACTGCTGCATGCACTCCCGGGCAAGTATTGGGGAGGAGGAGGCATGTGCCCCCTGATCTCTGTGCGGGGTGAGGGCAGGCTGCTGCTGTGGGCTTTGCCCCAGGTGCCAAACTTTATTACTACAGCACAGAGTGATCTCTAGTCCTGGTCATCTCCTACAGGTTCCTTGTTCCAGGCTGCTCCCTCAGGGGGTCTGAACGCTGCATTCAGTTCAAATGCTTTCTTCTTCTCCACTACCTAGGTGTCAGCTTGAGGGCACTGAGAACCTGAGGAAGGCAACAGTCCTTCTCCCTGTTCTGATGCCTGAGCTAGACACCAGCCTGCACCAGCTGGGAAGCAGAACAGCAGGAAAAGTTGTTCTTAGCATCAGGTAGACTCATGGGCAATTCAGACAGCATTTACCTGGAAGCTAGCTGCAAAGCTCTATTACAAAAGACATAACCCTGACCAAAATGCTCCCCCACTATTAGATGTATAGACCTTTTTCCAAAACAGGGACTACTAAAGAGCTTATCAGAGCGAAAAAATTTCCAGAAATATTTAACATGGAATGACAGAATAGCCCCCTTCAAAGAAGTAGTTGAAACGTTTGGGCTTTAACATTCCAAAAAACAGCCTGGGGCAGTCACACCGCCCCAAAAATTCCAGCCCCAAAGCTATAACTTTGAAATCGTAATGAAAAAAACAGAAAACGGGATTTAATAATGAGCAGCATTATGCAGCCTTAATAATTGATGCTCCCACCTGTGTGTATAATATGGTATTAAATGCTACCAGAATCTCTTGCCCTATACTCTGGGAATATTATTATCCTGGCACTCTGCAGAAATCTAACTTTCAAATATCAGATAAGCCAAAAAGTAGCTTGTGTGTGTTGCTCCATTACTCTCCTGATGCGCTTTTAACCAGACTTTATCACCCTTCTCCAGCTTTAGGATGGTACTTCCTGACACATTTTCATAAGCTTTTAGTGTTGTCTGATATGTTCCTACTATGCCCTTGCCATTTTTCATCAAAAGAATGGTTGTGGTATTCGGGTATAACTCTACATGGTATGCAAAGTAATACCTGCCAGATCCCTGGAGTTTGAAAATTCCTGTGGCCAAATCAAAATGATGCTGGTCATTATAGAGGACCTCATTAAAAATAATGGGTTGTTCAGGAGGTGGATAATTTTTGCCCAGTTTCGGAGCAAAAGCAGATTTTTGAAGACATGGGCATTCTCCTGGGTTTCCTTTTGGTCCAGTAGGGCGTGGTTCTCCTGTTTCACCCCTTGGTCCTAGTTTTCCTGGAGGGTCTTGTTGTCCAAACAATCCTGAGACACCTGAATAGGATTTTTTAAAAATGAACAAGAAACTGATGCCATTTAATTTGCTGAACAAAGCTTGATTAAAGCCCATAAAACTGTTTCTGTTCTTTGGTTGATAATGTCCCCAGTAGATGGTCAGATAAATAAACTACAGTTTAAAATACTGTCTCACCCCCTTCCTCCCTTCAAATAAATAAAATGCCCGCACATTCTGGTCAAAGGCAAACAGCCTCATCTGTATCTCTGCAGAAAGCTTAGACTCCAAATGAAGTGGAGAGTGCCATCCTTAACATGTTCGTAACTGGACATTTTCCTCTCTCTGGGGCCTCCCAAGAAGGAGACGATCAGATGGCCAGCAACAATGGAATTTATCCCCCAGCCAGAGTTGAAACAATTGCAGGGGAAGCAGCTTGCACATATCCTGTGTTTGGACTGCACTGACTGTGAGCAACTCATTTAGTTCAAGCACTGCCCTAATAGAGCTGGCTGGGAGATTGTCTCTCTCTGCCCTAACTCTTACAGCATTCACGTACAGCCCATCCCACTAAGAATAAACAAGTAGCACATATGCTACAGCCCATTTCATACATAGGTTTATTCTACAGAAGGCTTAAGAATGCTCCTATGCTCAACATTTGATTTCTAAGCAACTGTTGATATGAAATTACTCTGATTGTTACTGATTATTAAATTTAAAACAATATAAACAGGTGAAACAGTGCTATTAAACTCTGTTATTCCATTAAATGAACTCAGATTGACCCAGAGAACTTACCAGGCTCCCCTGTATCTCCCTTCTGCCCTTTTTCTCCATTGAGTCCATTTTGCCCATTGTGCCCTGGAATTCCATTGTTCCCAGGAGCACCTGGAGGACCTTGGAGAGACTGTTGAAGAACATGCTTGTCTTCTGATGCCACTGTTGCAGTGAGAGAAATAGCCAAAATCCAAATGCCTGGAGCAGGAGAAAAATGAAAGCCATTCCTTGGAGATTTTCAGTGGAGTTTGGAGAAAAACAAAGTAGTACAAAGCGAAGCGTTTAGATTGGTGTTCCACTTACCTACTTGTGAACTGCACAGTATCTCATGAACTAGATATGCAAAGGGGGCAAAGGTTTAACATCATGATGCTCTTGCACATTTACGCAAAGAATGCCAAATACAAAGGAGGAACTACCTCTTACCATTGAAGGAGGCAGAGTAAAAGTAATCACAGAACAGCACTGCTACTGACTCTAGATTCCCTAAAGCCTATTGATTGTTCCCTTTCCCCATTAAGAGTGAAATCCTGGTCCCACTAAAGTCACTGGCATACATCCCATTTACTTTGATAAGGCTGGAATTTCACTACAGATGTCTGGCCTATACTAGCACAGTAAGAAACAAGCAATTACATTCTCACAAAGAACATACCTGTTGCTACTGTATTGTACACTTTCATAGAGGTATTATTATTCCTGTCCTGAGACTGAATCAGGTGGAATATTTTTAGAAGCTGTCTTGGTATAGAGTACCTCTTTCTCTACTTACTGCCTCCCTGCTGCTGGGAGCATTAAAAGGCAGTTAAATCTACCTCATTCATTTAAATGAGGGCCAGATACCCGTCCCATATAGCAGTTTTTTACACAGTAGAATTCCACTCATGTCAAGATGGTTGCCCTTGGCTTTCACTGCATGAGAAGAAATCAAGCCACATATTTCTGAAAGAACCACATACCTGATAAATACATGCTCTGGGTTTGTCACCTCTCCCGTGACTCCTTCAATAACCTCACTCTTGGTTCACTGCGTTCTCTTTCTCACAGTTTTTTGTAAGACCCCTCCTATGACTGATCAGCATCTTTTATTGTTGTTTCATATACCCACAAGCCCTTGTGTCACTGTCTGTTCTTGTACTCACTTTCCAACCAATAAGATATTTTTCCTGTTTGCATCCCGTTTCCTTATAGTTACCCTTGGGTGGAGTGTCCCAAGACTGCTTTATGTCTTCCCCTAATTAATGTAATTTAAAAAAATAATAATAAACACAGCAGGCTGTATCTAATACAATATTTTTTTTGCTATTCTAATTGTTGTTTTATATGTTGGCCCAAATCAATCCTGATCCAATTCTGGTGAAGTTAATGCTGTTGCAATAAGGGAAAATGTGGCCATTTTTCTAATTGGTCTGCCAGCTGTTGCTGTGGGTTATGCTTTGGGAGGTGGAAAGTGGAACAAATGGGCTATCAGGAAAAAAACCCAAAGTGGTTTAGCCAGCTGGAGAATAGGTTATTATCTAGGAATGCAGAGACCTAGATATGTATATAACAGCTTATGTCCATTCACAAGCCTCTTTTGGCAGCTGCCTTTATTGTACTTACTGGGCACGTCTACACACGTGCATTTACTGTTCAGTAACCAATATTACTGCACGCTATGGGTGCACATCTACACCTGCACGCTTGCACTGTGCAGTAAATATGGCAACTTACACCAGCTTGAGCATAAATTTGATACCTGCATCATACAGGTATCAAATTTACGCCCAGTTAGTTACTGCACAGTAACACTCATGTAGACACCTTACTGCACAGTAACACTGTGTGTGTGGACTGACTTGGGACTAACTTTAGTTCCACATACAGTGTAAATGTACTTTAGCGCCTGCATGTATAGACACCGGCCTATTCCCGCTTACTGCGCAGTAAATTTAAGCCAGTGTAAATGCATGTGCAGACACACCCACTGTGTTTCCTGGGTGGGGGGGAATAGTTACATACAAGAAAACTATTCATGAGACTTTGACCCACTACAAAGTCCTCAGATAAATTATTCTAATTGTACTTATATTTTTTAATACTCATTATTTATTAATTTATTTATGTATTTTTTGATGTATATGCCACACTTTCCAATAGAAGCTCAGGGCAGCTTACAAGAGAAATACAAAATAGCTTATAAAACAGGAAAAACGCTTGTAGAACAGGTGAAAACATAAAACAGAAACCCATTAAACAACATCCCAGACCAGCTATGTTTGCTAAATGGAAGCCCAAATAGCTTTGTTTTCTAAATGCTGGCCCAATAGTGTTTCTGAAAGATGTCCAGCCTTGGGCTCTGGCAGGTCTCAAGATTGGGGGGGGGTACCAGAGCTGAGGGGTCACTATTGAGAGCAATCTCCCACCTATTTTTGCCAAGTAGACTTGGTGCATTGGTGCTACTTGCAGAAGGTTGCTCTTAGCTGACCTTAGGGATCACAGTGGGATCTAAAAGAGAAAGCAGTCCCTTAGGTATGTAGGGTTCAGACTGCTTAGGGCAGGGGTGCTTAACTGCCAGCCGACGGGTGAGATCCAGCCCCTGGTGCCATCTCTTCTGGCTCCCCACAGGAGCGGTGACATTGTTTCCCTGCTGCCAAATGTCCAGACACATGGGGAGCCCCAGGCCCTGTGTGCTAGATCTGGTACCTGATCACAGCACACAGGGCCAGGCATGGGTGGTACCAGGTCCTGGGGCCCACTCCTTGTGTGTGGGGCAGGGAGGGGGCAGCAGCAGGCCCCAGGGCCCAATCCCAGCATGCAGGGCAGAAAGCAGGTGGTACTAGGTCCTGCACAGGGCTCAATCCAATCCGTGGACCAGTGCCACACTACTCATCTGGTCCACTGAGCCAAAAGCTAGAGCACCTCTGATTTAGAGCTGTATCAGCACCTTGAAGCATACCATCAGTCTTTAAGGGCAGCCCCACATAAAGAACATCGCAGTAGTCTAGCTGTGAAGTTAAACAGTACCACATCTAAGTAGTAGCCAAACTTATGGGAAGCATAATTTAATAATACTACTACTTAGCTCTTCTATTGCCCTTTTCATCTGTGAGGCTCAACTCTCTTAAAAGATTGAACAATAGATGCAAGTGCATGGGAAGCAGCTGCAAAGGTCAAAAAGTTATCTTCCATATCAGTGGCATAGGTGATAGGAGGTTTAGCAAGTTAGTGTCTGTGAAGTGCTTTGAAAAAGTAAAGCTATATAAAACACATAACGGTTTTTATAGTACTAGGGGGAGTAGCATTGAGTAATCTTGGTAATTGACACAGAGCAAGAAACTGGGACCAGCAAATTAAGTTCAGGGCTTAGAGTTTGAGGCTGGGCTCTGGAAACTCCAAACTCAGAACCTGGTAACAGAAAATGGAATGTGAAACTCTGATCCGAGAACAATATTTGAAGATCTTGTTTTGTGACTTTGGCTGGCCTGGTTTTATAACAGGCCCCAGGGATTTGGTGCTCAAAGGTCCATAGCTGTGACTTAGTTTTCAGAACCTGCAACACTGTGTTCTCATTCCAGACCTCTCACTTTGGATCTGGGACTAAGATTTTTTTTTGTTTTTAAGCTTGCCAGAGCTCTCAAAGTGCTTTTCACAATTAGTGTTTCAGAATTGTTTTCAGGTGGGCTGCTTGTCCTTGCAAAGAACAGTAAATCCAGCCTTATCTGTGAGAGATAAGAAGACTTGGGGTAATTAGTAGATTCAGCTGGGTAAAGTAGGTGATTTCTCACCTTATTATACTTCAAGTTTGTGTTGGGTACAGGGAAGAGAAGTGTTTTAGTGGAGAAGCCAGATAGAGGCTAGGGAATGGGAGAGCTGTAAGAAAAAGTAATTGCAGAGGAGTTTTAGAACTTGGGTAAACTTCTGCGGAAGTAGCTTTGCATGCTGTTGCCCTGCAGAAGAGGAGAGAACTAGAGAAATCTTGAAATGAACTAAAAAGTGCATGTCTGTAGGTGTAAGGTACTTTTTGCTGAGATGTTTTTGGAAGAAGCCCTATGAACTACTTTTCTGGAAAAAAGGTAAGGCTAAAAATGAGCTAAGGCTGAATGATGAAGATATTGAGTTAGCTATCACCGTTCTGTTTTGTATTGCTTGTTGGTTCATTTATGATTACCCAGACAGCCACATTATCCCTAAAACAGATCACTGAAATGTCATGTCATGCTATGGAGGGGTCCTCTAGAGTGGTTAAAGTATGTAATATTAGATGTTAGTTTTGGTGCTTAGCACAGACTCTTGTAGCCTTCCTCATCCCCCCCCCCCCCCCCCCCCCCCCCCCCCCCAAACCTGCCTTAAGATGGAGACCTGATCAGTAGAGCTGAAAAGATTTGTCAAAACAAATACGTTAGCTCTTCAAGACTAAGAGAGCCTAGACTCTGATTTATGGAACTGAGTTCCTACAGCTCTGAGTACTGCTTTCACATTTAAATACTGTATGTTGGTATTCTATTCCATTTTCCAAACGTGGCATTCCAGATCTTGTATACGAAGCCTATTTCTGACAACCCAGACTTTTTTTTGGAACTGGAAATTCCAGTTTTTGGTGCTGGGAAACACCTTTCTGAAGTTGGCTATGGGTTTTTATCATTGTAGTCTATGAAATTCTGTTTATTGGCTAAACACTAACACCACTACATCTTTTTGCCTATTTAGTTTAGCTGCTGATTTCAGAGAGTATCCAAGTCACATGAGTCTTTATTTAAATTTTATATGCAATTTCTAAAAATGTAACTTGCTTCCTTGGACTGAGTTGTACTGTTGGTCTGTTCACTGTTAACGACATCCATTTACCCTTTTGCAAAAATAAAAAATAAAAAAATCAACAGCTATTTGCATAAGCTAACTACTGATGAAGTTTCGTAGGTTCATTGCAATTAATAGAATGATTCTGACACTCTAGTTAAGAATGTGGCTCATAGTTACCTGTATAATGCTCTTGTAAAATAGATGTCCTTTCTCCAGAGGCAGAATTCAACTTTTAAGGGTTTTTTGTTGTTGTTTTTTTTGGGGGGGGGGGTTGTTCTTGTTTGTTTGTTTGTTTGTTTGTTTGTTTTTGTTTTGTTTTTTTTTTAAGTGGTTGTATTTCTTTAAGCTATGGCAAAAATTATTTTGAAGTGTAATCTTCCTTTTCACCACTAGGTGGTGAATGCAGATCATTATTATAGAGAAAGTAGACTAAAATTAGTTCAAGAAAATAGCATGGAAATAAAAAATCCAGGGAGGACTGCAGTTAGACTTGCTTATTAAACTAGGCTTAGATTCTCTTGCCTACTTGTGTGTAGATCTTCAAAAATAATTTAAAATACAGCTCTGAATCTTTCTCTTTAAAACCTCAAAAATGTCTGTAACTTCCCTTTTCTGTTTAGAGCATTGTGGTTTAGAGCACATAGCATTATATTGTAAATCTAGTGTGACAGTAAGCCAAGCATATGCAGTTGACTTCCTTAACAAGTATGAAATTGTTTCCATCTTGCAATCGGATCCGTGTTTTCAGTCCTTGACATGCACATGGAGCCCAAATCAAGACAACAGGACACTAGATGTTAGGATTTGCACGTGTGGATCTCCTTCTAGGACCAGGAAGCAGATACTGTATTAACTGTACAGATGTGACAACTGCCAATTATACGGATCATATTAATGAGTTCAGTGGTTTTCATGACCCTGAACTTACCAATATGTAACCTCACATTGATAATCTGTCAAGAATGACCCACTACAAAGTGTACTGAAAAAGCAATAGGACAACTTTTCCCAATTGAGTTATGTTGTCAGACTTTTTGTTTTGACACACTTAATTATGTTTTCAACATCCCTCTAAGGCACTAAAATGGTTTTCCTCTGAATATTTATAGCTATGCAGTTTTCTGCTAACCATGATGCTAATCAGTCTTACAACTTCCCTAAGCAGATCTGTTTGAGATGATGCATGTGCTCTTACTATTATGATGGCATCTAGGGGCATTAGTCATGGACCAGACCTCGCTATGCCCAGGTGCTGTACAAATGGAAATTTTCAAAAAGATGGCCCTAGAGGGTTTGTATCGAACCATTGTCTTCATATTTCGCTTACAAGCTAACACACGCTATGCAGAAGGTAACAATGAGACACAGTGGTCAGTATGGTAGAGAATGGTTCCAGTACAATAGCAGCTAAACTTGAGTTCTTTATATTCACCACATCTAAGTATGAATTTGAAAGGGCGATACAGTGGTTTTGCAGACTCCTATGCAGC